AGTCCCATCAAAAGTTTCAGCGCGCAGTGCAAGGCTTCAAGGGGGCTTTTGCTTGGTCCACCACCCTCCCAGTTTCTGTTTTCCTCGTCAGGAGCGGGGCCTGGTGCTGCGTCTGAGCATCCTCTTCTGGGTCATGTCCTGCCTGTCAATCCACTTTTTGCGGGCGTGGGGGAAGCTCACGCTGAGCTCCATGTGGCTGGCGGTTGGCATCTCCTGCGGCGTCTCCACCCTGGTCACCGCCTTCTTCGCCTTCCGGGTGCTGCTGGTGCCAAAGTGCTACCTCATCCTCGGCAATCACAAGTAGAGCGACGCCGGCGAGAAGCAGTTCGGGCCCGGTGTTAAAAAGGGGCCGCAAAAAGATTGGGCCGCGGAAGGTGGAAACCGAGGGCACGCACTTGGGCACATGGCCACTTCAGCGCTGGACCCGCTTGCAGTGCTTTGCGGGACCCGACATCGATTCATGTTGGCCGGCAAGGCCTTTGCTTTAGCCACCGAAAAAGTTGGCCGCAGCAATTTCTGAGAGGAGCAGAGCTTGCTGATGCGAAGCGCCCGTTGCCAGGTCGATGAAGATGAAACGGACTCAGTGTTCGAGGCCTGGGCGGTGATGGAGGCGCGGAGGTTCTGATCCGAGAGCTGATCCGGTTCTAGGTCCCCCACCAGTAGTGCCCTTGTACCAACTTTTTTGGGTGGGAGGGTTCCCCTAGTAAAATAGACAAAACAGAAAAAAGTTGGTACCCTTATTCTAACCTCTCTACTGGAGGACCTAATGCTGTTTAAGCTGGCAGCGGTTCGCCCAAACACGTGACAACATATATCTGCCCTGATGAATCTTGACCCCATGTGTGCTCCCTCCTCAGCTCCCTAAATTTGAGTTCTTTCGGAGCTGTTCATGTAGGCGACTCAACTTTTTGGTGTTGCTCACTGTCGCCGAAAAGTTTTGGAGTTACTGTTTGGAACTCCACTTGGCATTTGGGGCACTCTGGTAGCCTTCATCCAGCTCTTTGGCAGCGGCAGGACAGGAGCACCGACGATATCATTATGCACAAGGCGCAGAGTTCTTCTTTTCCACATCTTGCAAGACCCATGTCTCTGACAGATTCGTCCAAGTGCAGAAATGTCGGATACCTTTTTTCTGCAATGCAGTGCAGCTAAATGCAACGTGTCAGGCTTTTCCGAGCCAAAAAGCTCTTTTTGGAAGCTCCAACAGTGGGTTCAAGGGAAGCCACCGGCGTTGATCTGTGGGCATCCGCAAAATTCAGTGACCCCTACAACACGAGAGTCCGAAAACCCACGGGTTCCGAACGACTAGCTTCCAAAAACCGACGGGATCGACGGGATCGGCCAGGGCGTGGGCTATGAGGTGAGCATTCGGAATACGCTGGGACCCTGACATGCGTGGTGTGCGCGGGCTATGCGGGCCAGGCGTGTCTCTTTGGTCTCTTTGGCCTTCATGAGAAATTCCAAGCTGCAGGTTTTCCAACTTGGGGAAATGGGAATTCCCCAACCACCGGGCTCCAAACCACCAATTCGAGCTGAAGCTGTTTCAAAATATTGAATTTATTTCCTAGGCTCAAAGCCGGAGTCAACTGTAAACCGCAGAAAAAAGCAAAGAAACAAAATCGCGGAGCACGGGCTCTTCGAAGGCTCCGGCGCCCGAAGCTCCGAGGTTCATCAGCTTCGGAGTTGCGGACGCGGCCAAGAGGAAAGAGTTGGGCTGGGGAAGATTCGCAGAGCAACCGACCAAAATCCACGACCAACAGGTAACGCGAGAAGGCCGCATGATGTTTGATGGCAACAACCGTCACAAAGAACATGATGGACATGGTACAATGCCATTCTGGCAAACCTTTGCGGCTGCCCACTGCCGACCCGACCGAACTTCCCTTGAAATTTGCACAGAGAAAATCATCGTCCCTATCAGATAGGTTCAACGTGGACACCTTAAAAGGCTGTAGAAGCCTTGAGGGACCCAACTGTCAATATGCCCCAAAAGCAGGCAGACATCAGACGGAGAAGCTGAAAGGGTGTAGGTGCCTAGTGAGGAGCCGAAAGCAAGCGAGGCGCAGAAAAGCTGCAAAAGTACAACTGCCCCGAGTAGAAGCATATGTGAAACATGGAGCCTGGGCTTCCTTTGGCCGCGCTCAGACCCTTACTGGACCTTGGCAAGGCACCAGCTCCTTAGAGCTCTCGTCGGAGGTCATGGCTTTGCAGCTTTTTGAGGGACGTGTCATGAGTGAGATATTTGTGAAATGTGTTAGTTGCACGCCCGTGATATCTTGTGGTAGGATGCTGCACAGATCTCACTCCGAGCCCAGCCTCAATGATCGAGATTAAGGCGCGGTCCCGCTTTGCTCGAGTCCATTCTGAACAACCAAAGGCGCTGAGACTTGAAGTGTGTACATTGGACTACAACCCTCGCGTTCCCCAGAGAAAACCATTGGATCTTGGAAGAGCCCTTGCACAGATTTTGGAATGACCATGCACCACCTTTTGTTGCCAGCATGGAAAAGAGAGGGAGGGGAGTGCGGCCTGCTCAGTGGTAGCATGGAGCTGGAGGCGGTGCTGCGCTTGTTGCCTTTTAATACTGACTTCTGCACCAAAAAAAGAAACACACACACACAGACCTACGCCCGCGCCCGCGCGCCCGCGCACGCACGCACGTGCACACACGCACGCACGCACGTACACACGTGCACGCACAGGCACCCACGCACACCGACCCACAGAGACACAGAGACACAGAGACACAGACACACACGCACACGGATTCCCCAAGACCTGTTTGAACCGCACGCGCCGACCTTGAGCCTTGACCAGGTGACACATGCTGATTGGCGGTAATTTTTCCAGATGGTATGGCTGGTCGGAAGCTGCTGCAGACCCCACACTTTGTCAAGCCGAAATTTTGGCATCCGACCAGACCAGCACATTGTGCCGGGCCGTTGCTCTGCTTTCTGGGTGCATAGGGCTGTGTGGATCACTACACTTGTTCCCGCGGGCAATTTTCCCACTTTCATGTCACGCTATCGGAGCTTGGAAAGGCGGCAGTGCTTGTACCCGACTAGTCTTATCACGTTCATCAGCCACGCATGGAACGCGTGTCCAGCGGCTGCATCGCACCCGAAATGATCAAGCGGATAGGCCTTTCAGTTTCATTCAAGGCGGTCAACAGAAAGTCGCAACAGATGACTTGTGTCCTCGGAATTTGCCACATGCTGCAGCATGTTGCAAGTGGATTGTGGCCACATTGCAGTTTGCAGTGCAGTTTGGTGGTTTGTTATGTCTTTAGTGTGACCATGATCCACTCCTGGGCATTATTTTTTACAGGCTTTGAGACAGTATTGTATCACCCTTGCTGCAGGGGCACTCCAGCCCGGCCCAGCTGCCCAACTTTTGCCAACAAAACTCATTTGCGCCTCGAGAGCTTTGGGCTGGATGGCAACGGAGTGCCCCTGAAGACGTCTCACCCGCCTTGCGTATCCAACAGCATCTCGTGGTGGGCTTTTCCTAGCTGCTGCGAAAGTGGGATCTTTGGTCGTTTTCAGCAAATGGGGGTCTGATGGTGGTCTTGTCGCTTTTCCTTCCTTTGTCTTGTTTTTTCTTTCTTTTCCTTTGCCTCTAGGGCGAGAATGGTCCCATGTAGTGTCCTGGAGCCTTTTTTACTTGACACCTGCATGGCCAGATTGAGCTGCAGCCGAGAAGCGGTGGTCCATGGCAGCTCTGTGCATTGCTGGACCCGCAATTTTTGAATGCAGCCAATCGGTCCGTGCACGGAAGAGAAGGAAGAATGCAAGCTTTGCAGTGCTGGTAGCTAGCCAAGTCGAGACAAAGTTGGATGTGGTACTCGTTCCTCCTCTTCAGCTTTGAGTCTTTCAAATTGATGTAGTGGGCCTGCTTGGCCAGTCCAAACACTCCAGGATTTCTACCCGCGCGCTTGGATGTACGTCGTAGGATGTCCATGCATTAGGCCATTGTTTGCTGCCTCCTCAGCGCATGGTACTTACAGCCTCAGAGATGCATGTCAGTCGCACATGAGCCGGAGAGGCTCCGCAGAACTACAAAAATTGGTAGTGGCCAATTCTACACTCAACGCATGCCCTGCGATGTTGGCAATTTTGAGAGCTCAGCGCCACGTGACGAACATGTGGCCAGGACATACATTTGGACATAGACGGCCGGGGTTGTTTGATTCTCATTTTGAGGCGCGGCTCTTCACAAGCTGTATCGCGGGGCCATCTTGGCGACTGTCACACAGGCACTCTCACACGTGAACTGCTGGTCTGCCTTGGAGAGGTGGCTGCCAGCGTTCGCTAAGTCCTTGGCAATCGAGAGGTTGAGGACCAGGTCCCTGTACCCGGAAAGGTTCTCAGAACCATACCAAGAACCCCTCGTTAAAAGGTGATTCTTCCCATTGCCTTGCTGCCTGAATGCCAATGGGCTCGTGCCACTTGGCCCTACATGTGGCAGTGGAACTTGTGTGACGGTCTGCAATGAAGTGAGTCGTCAATTCATGAAGTTATTGCGGCAGCTTGTTGGTTTCAACCGGAATCCATTTGCAGTGAGTTGGTTGATGTTGCGTGCTATGGCGCAAGCTGCGCAGACCTTGTGTAGACGCCTTTCCTACATGAGCAGGTTTGCGTGGCTGTGCGCTTTTCAAGAAGCTCCTGAAATCATGGATTGCGTGTTAGCTGGTCGGACTTTGAATTCTGACCGCGCGACCCTCTTGCTGCGTATCTTTTACACGCATGCGATTGAAATATGCACATGTCTTGCTGCGCCTCAGTGCTGTGCGATGTGCAACCAGAGAAGGAAAGGACCGTCTGCATCCGTGCAAGTGTCACTACTCGAGAGTTACACTCAAAGCGGATGCGCTGATTCGACGCACCGAGTTGTGGTTCCCAAGGACCTCATAGAAATCGTAAGCGGTAACACCGCAGGCAAAGGTGCCACAGTCAAGCCACAGTCGTCTTTTTGACTGAGACAATTCGCAGCACTTCCAGGGACATGCTTTATCACCTGGAGCAGCCAGAGGCCAGGGGCAAGTGCTGGCGTGGCAGTGAGATTTTGAAACCAGAAGATGTCTCGGGGAGAGGGGTTCTGCTGACCGACTTTGAAAGCTTTGTTCAAAATGGTGGGTGAGTCTTGGAGGTACCATTTTTGGTTGGACAAACCCTGGCAATTTGGGACGAATCAACTTGGGACGCTAGGCCTTGGCTGGCAGAGGTGTCAAGCAGCAAACGAAAACGCCGAAACAGAAACAGATGAACGAACGCAGGCGAGGCAAGGAGGCAAAGAGGCAGAGAGGCAGAGACAAGCGGGGACAGACGGTGATAGACAGAGACAGACAGAGGCAGACGGAGACAGACAAAGACAGACAGAGACAGACAAGGACAGACAAAGACAGACAGAGACAGGCAGGCACAGACAAGCAATCAAGCAATAAAGCAATCAAACAGAAGTAAACAGACGAGCAAACTCATGGACTAATTAACTAACGAACTCAGACACTGACCAAGGATGATACAAATAAAACAAATACAGACAGCGAGAAAGCAAGCGTCTCAACAATCGGCTCCCTTCCTTCCCTTCCCTCCCATCTTTCCCTCCTTCCCCTCTTCTTTCCGTTCCTCTCACCTCCTTTCTTCCTTTCTTTCGTTCTTTCGTTCTTTTGCGCTTTCGTTCTTTGGTTCTCGCGTTCTTTCTTTCTTTCCTTCCTTCCCCTTCCTCTCCTCTCCTCTCCTCTCCTCTCCTCTTCTGTTCTCTTCCCTTCTATTTTCTTTGGTTTTAACAGAGAAACAAAGAATATACACTAAGATATATAGTATCCGAATCGAATAAAACCACATAAAACCAAAGAAAATAGAAGGGAAGAGAACAGAAGGGGAGAGGAGAGGAGAGGAGAGGAGAGGAAGGGGAAGGAAGGAAAGAAAGAAAGAACGCGAGAACGAAAGCACAAAAGAACGAAAGAACGAAAGAAAGGAAGAAAGGAGGTGAGAGGAACGGAAAGAAGAGGGGAAGGAGAGAAGAGAGGAGGGCAAGAAGAGAGGAAGGAAGGAAAGATGGGAGGGAAGGGAAGGACCAACCACCAAGCACCACGCCCCAAAGGAAAGAACGAGGGAAACCAAAGGAACCAAAGGACGAACGAAGAACAGAAATAAAGTCAAGATGCAAAGAAACAAAGAAACAAGCAAACAAGCAAAGAAGCAAAGGCCAAACAGGCAAACCAGCAAGCAAGCGAGCGAGCGAGTGCCCAAGCCCACATACACACATTGCAAGCAGAGAAACACAAACACACACAGACACACCCACTGCCTCGCACGTGCAGGTGCAGGCCCCAAGGACGCCTCGCACGCCACGAGTTGTGCAGGACGCCTCGTAGGCAGACGGCTCGCTTTTGCTGCAGCTCATGGAGCAACCAACGCATTGCTGGGAAAGAGCAACGAAGATGCCCGAGGGTGTGCTAAGGAGTGTTTGGTAGCTGTCCCTACGTCTTGATCACAGTGATGTTTTGGGTCTTGCAGCTGACTGTGCGGTCAGGTTCGGGTCTGAGCGAATTACAAATCTCAATATTTGCACATTTGCACCCGCGATGTTGTGCCACATCGTCGCTATCTGGACAACTCCAACATTGTTGCAGGCTGTGTGAAAGTCGCTTCCTGCGACATGTTGCCTTTCTTTGTGGAACGTTGTATGCATGTGTATTTTGCATGGTTTGGCATGCAGCATACACTTGTGCTCTTCTTGATTTGCTCCGAGTCAGAAGTCCTCGCTAGCATAGCCGCGACCAGCAAACCGACTGCCCAACCCGCAGGATGACAAGCGCTTCCAAGAGGTGGTGGCCTACATGAAGGAAGGGCGATAGGCAGTTCACACTTCGTGGCGATTTGGGAGCGGATCTTTGGACTTTAACCTCTTGGTTGAACCAGCTGGCATTTTCTGTTTTGGGCCCACAACAAGCTATTCACTTTTTGCAGAGGGGTCGTTACAGCAACCAAACACTGGCAGGGATTTTCCGAAAAAGTTCTTCACTTTTTGCGGAAGGACCAAGCACAGACCGATTCCAAGCGACTCGTTTGTCCGCTTCTCGTGGCTTGTGGCTGGGCTATTCCCCCGGGTCTCGCATTCGTGGCCTTCGCCAGTGCAAACGACAAATCTTCGCCGCGTAGCGCAACTCTCCTTTTCGTTCCAGGTGTCTTGTGGTGAAGCAAAAAATAGCAACTGGCTTTTTGAATTCGTTTTCCGCAGATTGCGCGCAAAACGAATCCGGCGAATCCCGTGGCTTTCGTGATCTCGAGGAGACAAAGCCTGAATTGGCCCGGTGCTTCTCCGAGTACAAGGCCCAAAAGAAGAAGACCGGACGAGCTTGTCAAAATGGTGTGCCGTTTTGAGGGTACACTTTTTGCGGTTGGATAGGGAACCTCAAATGAAAGCCAGCCTTTCCAGGTTGGTTTGAAGCTCGGACCCCACCCCCACGGCCCCCACCCCCCCCCCTCCCCCAAAAAAAAACAAAAAGGAATATTTTTCCGGTTGGTTTCTCTCGAAAACCAAAAAGAGTGGACACTCAGAAAAAAGGACACGGCCATATGCGGCCCATGGAGAAGCATGATTCGCCCTTAGCAGCAATCAGCTCTTGAGCTTCTAGGCCAGGGGGCGGTGTAATCGCCCGGAACCCTGGGACCCCGCTTTGGGTTGGGTCGCAAACCTGGGTGAATTGAGGACAGGACGAAGCGTCCGTCTTTTCCACGTTGACTGGATATTTCTTGGTATGTGTTGAAACCGGAAACAAACAAAAAAGAGGAACAAAAGCAACGAGACTGTGAATGGAGGAAATCCGGCACCACGTTCAAGCCATGCTTGAAACCATTGTTGCAATTTGCAAGGGAAGCAAATCATTCCTGGGCTTCTGAACGGTGGCGAAATGGATTTCGTCCATCGGCAGTAGTTTCCTTGTGGCTCCCTTCAAAAAAGACTTCGCGAGTTCGAGCGATGCAGGCGAGGAACCGAGACTCCACGGGCTTGCTCTACAGCTCACCGGTGATTGGCGCGCGTTTGGTTCGAGAGGGCTCCTTGCCTCGGTTTGGTTTGGTTGGATGGATTCCACCTGCCAATCCAAAACCCAGAGGGAAGCAACAACAACAACTTAAATTCCTGACAGTTTGCAGAGCTGCTTTCCGATGCAACTCGCCAGGTGCTAGCTTGAGGCGGTCCTGAGGCCTGATTGTGGGCTTGCGGACCCAAAAAAGCACGACTATCATGAACGTGTTTTGGCAATAGCTGGGGTATTTGCGAAGGAGGGGCTTTGAATTCTTCTCAAGCGCAGGTATTGAGGCGGATGTGCTGTGGGGGTTGCCAATGTAGATGTGATTTGATGCACTGTAGCGCCACTCAACCCTCTGAAACTTACAGCAACAAACACAATCCGCCTGAAGTGAAATCAGTTTGAAGTGGGAATTTCTTTGATGTGGCAATACGAGGCAATGGTGACCCGGGATGAATCAACCCGAATTGTTATTGGGGTTCCTGACATCACTTTGGCGGGGAACACCCCCATTATGAAAAGTTTTTTTTTTTTTCTCCGGGGTAGGCAGAGGGACCCTGTTTTGCTCTGTGCAGCCCAGACATCCACATGCCTTACTCGTGAGGGCATGGCTGTAGCTTGCGGTGCCCAGCTAGGTCGGCAGAGGGCGAGTCTTTGGTGTCATGTCCTCCGCTCAAAACGAGCGATTTTCAGATTTTGTGTGACATCAAGAGTGTGACGCGGAGCTGCCAGCCTTGCGACGAAGGTTTACCGCAGAGAACCTCAGAGAAACGAGCTCGAATTTCCGTCCTCAGGTTTGACCTGACTGGTAGCCCAGTCCGGTTTCACAGCTCAAAGGCTTCCATGGTCAGACGCGGGAGCTCTTCCGATTCCCCGATAAACAAAAACGTGAGCACTTCCGATTCGTCCGAACTCCTGTGAGTCTCCGCGACTTTCCGAAGCCTTGGGCCAGGTCAACGAGAATCGGGCCTTGGGTCCTCTCAGCCCTGTTGGTCCTTAGGCACTGCCAGGCGCCTGCTCCCGCGGCCTGCCGTGGGGAGCCGAGGCATGAGCCCAGCTCAGATGTAAATGCAACCGGAATACATTGAGCCGCGACCGAAACCGCATGAAGGATCCGAATGTCTCCTTGGATTTCGGTCAATGCTCAAATAGGGCCGAAGCACGACATCGTCAAGGCCTCCCTCGCGAGCTGCCGGAGAAGTGAAAGCTCTTCTCCCGCGGTTGTCTCCAACTTGCGGCTTTGTGAACCTCTTACGTACAGAGTAAATGACACAACTCCCTTTACGCGGGAAAGCAAAGACCTTAAGGTGATGTCTAAACCCAAATGGGGGGAATGGATGTGAACGCTCTGCCTATCACTGTAGCCCTGCTAAAAGGCGACAGAGTGCGACAACATGTGGCCAAATGGGCAGGTCTTGTGAGGTCCTTCCGGGCAGTTTCACATCAAGGCAGTTCTTGGAATTCATCATTCCTGGGCAAACCCCCAAAAGCCATTCGGCAACTTCAACTTGTTTGAGCGAGAGCGCTCGAGTTTGACGCTGCTTTCAAAGAAGCTCATCATGACTCCGCTTGAAAACATCAGCCGCAAGCTTATCATCTTAAGTGGCTGTGTGCGTTTTGAGGGCCCCTTGCAGATGTCAGGGTGTTTGAAAGGGAAAGCAGCAGGAAAACCACATTGGTTTGCCCCCCTGCCCCCCCCCCCCCCCAATATTGGCACATCCAGTGTTTCCATTTGTTTATTTTTATTTTATTTTATTTTTATTATTATTATATATTTCCCCTGTTGGTTTTAAAGGGAATCAATCACTATTGGAATTATTTCATTTTTTTCCAGGGGACGAAAACGCACATGGAAGAGTGGGTTCTAGCCCAGACTTGAGCCGTGGAAGACGGCCTCACGCAGCTTGATAGCCGCCTTGAAGATGCCAGGTGCATCGGTCAGGCCATCCAAAAAGAGGATGAAAAGTGGCGGCAGCCCTTCGCTTCTTTAAAGGTTCTCGATATGGATTTCGGACCCATGGGCACTTTCCAGCCGATGGATGTGGTTCCAGCGCGAGGGATCGTGTGCTGACCCTCACCATGGGCCTCATGGATTTGCGAGATCAATGTCGTCACTTTGCAACAGTAGATGACAGTGAATATTGACTGTTGCTCGCATGGATCATTGACGCGCATGGGTCTTTGAGCGGAAGACGCCAAAGAGGCTGTGTAGCCATTGGCTCACAGAAAACAAGGGGCAAATGGTCAACTTGAGACAGGCACCAGTGGAAGGGCCCAAAAGGCACACCGTAGGACATTGCAAGTGTAACATGCGTGAATTGAAAACACGTGGGAAACCTTTGGTGACCGCTCTTGCCTGACCGAATGACACCCACCGTTGTTGGCGTGCAAAACAGGATTGGGGGGGCCCAATCCTGCCCTGGGATTCAAACAAAATCCGCTGCCCAGCTCAGCTGTTCTGTAGCTGTCTTCTCCATTTTTTCCTTCAGTTGGTCAACCCAATCTGACCTGTAGCTGTCTCCTCCATTTTTTACAGTTGGTCAATTGGCATCCACTTGCTTAAGACTATTTTTTGTTTTCCCTGATTGGTTTTAGAAGGACTTTATCACTACTGGACAAACATTTTAGCAATCTATATATATATATATATATTTAAACAATAAAATAACATTAACAATTGTAATAAGAATTAACATTCTAGAAATATTCTCATTTTGTCCAGGGGTCTTAGCCAAATGGAAGTTGGGTCAGGGGAACTTCGCAAAAGTGTCTTCCCCATTTGGCCAATCTGATCTATAGCTCCAGTTGGTCAACCTTACGTCAGGGGAAATTCACCCCAAAAGTGTTTTACGCTGCATGGCGCGGCGCTGGGGCCGGGCCTTGGTGAAGGCGGAGGGGGCTGTAGACCTCACAGGCGCGGTTGAGCGGGGTGGCTCTTCTTGCTCCATTCTTCGGTGGGATGAGGGTTTTTGTGTTTGCGCCTAGGGCTTTTTTTTTATTAGGTGTGGTTTGTTGGCTGGTTGCACTGGTTGGTTGGTTGGCTGGTTGGCTGGTTGGTTGGTTGGTTGGTTGGTTGGTTGGTTGGTTGGTTGGTTTGTTCGTTGGTTGGTTGCACTGGTTGGTTGCACTGGTTGGTTGCACAGGTTGGTTGGTTCACACCACGTGCCATTGTTCAGCGGACGGCGCGGCCATGTCTCAGGTTCTCAGCCTTTTATGCAGCTCTGAGAATCACTTAAGCAGCGCTCAACCCCTCAACCCATTGACTATTCTAGCAGGCGGTCCTACTACCTTGGTTGGATGGGGGCTTACAGCAAGTCCAGCGCAAGCCTTTCTACTCACATTGGTCGGAACGAAAGTCGACGCGCTTTGGGCGCTGCGCACTTTTTCTCCCTTGGACTTGGGCGCGGCCAGGTTCGCCCGCGCGTGTCGACAAGCTGGCGGTGGATCCCCGGGAGGTGGAGGATGACTGGCTGGCGCCGCAGAAAGCTGAGGAGATCACGGAGGTGCCCATTCAGCCGGCAGTTTCCCTGGGCCGCCTGGCGACGTCTGGCCGCCGAGTTGTTCAAAACCAATCCGGAAGATCCGGAAGATCCGGACAGCTGCCCTTGTTGTAGCAGTGTCCCGTTGCGGAGTACGGACTAGGGAATCCCCATGTTGAACAACCCAGCCCTTTTTGCGTGTAGGCTTGTTCAAAGGATGCAGGTTGAGGACTTCTTTTGACGCCTGATTTGCTGGATCCCTTTTGACAATGGGTTTTCTCACATGGCACCATTTGAGGGTCATACTGATCGATTGTTATGCCTGTGAGTGATTGACATGTATTTTTGGCGTTGCTTGCAACAGAACGGAGGCCTGCGCATCTGGTTTTCTTGAACTCAACTAGGCAATGTCGAGTCCAGGTTAAGCAGCCTGGTTTTTTTCCAGTGTTCCCCCAAAAAAGTGAAGGATCCCAGCCCTTGTTGGACCAACTCGGGGTGCCACTCGAGGCTTCCACGCCAAGCTGTGCGCCGGCCTGCGCCGCTCGGCCGCGCCGGCCACCATGCCGGGGCCGGCCACAAAGGCGCCAGGCCGAAACGCGGAAAGGGAGCCGCCGGTGTGGCTCGGATTCAGCGGACTCGGAGTCCACATTTTCTGGTTCCTCTTTTCCCCTTGTTTTTGGGCAAACACCAGAAACGAGTCTAGTCTGACGGCGCTGGCGCAGCTCTGACTCGCGCGCGGCGTCCACGAGGCTCGTGTGGCTGAGACCTTTCGACCTCCGCCTGCACGACCAGCCGGCCTTGTGGCACGCAGCGCAGAGCCGCAGAGCGGTGCCCCGGAACCCGAATGAACTCGAGGGAACACGAGTGAGCGAGGGGCGACTGCTCTGAACCCAAAAAGGGGCTCCCCCAAAAGGATACAACAATGATGGGTTGTTGGGTGTGATCCTGGCATTGAGCAAAAACCATGCCGCATAAAGCACCACCCGGGTTTATGGAATTCAAGGAGTCTGTCCATCAGTATGGGCCTAAATACTCGACAAAGGTATAGAGTCCTTGACACTCGGCCATGGTCATCTTGCGGTTCTTGTGAAGGGCCTGATGAAACCCGAGGTGCAGCTGGTGTTCCCCTGGTCAGATTCGGATGACGAGAAGGAGGGCGACTGGCGACTCGCGGGCTCGGCGGCAGCCTTCTTTCTGCATCACGCCATTGCCTCCCTGGACGTTGCCGTCCGGCAAAAGCTTCCTGGCGCTTAAGACCATTTGCTTGTCGTGGCTCATTGGACGTGCCAACGAGCTTGAACAACAGTTTGGCTCATTGCTTGCTCAAACTGGTGCTTGGAGGCTTGGAGATGCCCTTATCCTGTAAATACCTGCGTTGCCAGGCTCAACTGACCTCCATGCAATATGCCGACAGTTTCCCCACCGCTTGGATCGATGCCGCGATGTCCGGAAAATGCCGCAACGTCAAAGCCTGTGACAAGCCTTGATCCCTTGATAGGTGAAGGGTGTCCCCCAAAAATGGATTTCGGCGTTCCTTTTAGCTTCCCCTTCAGGTGCAAAGCCTCCAAGGAATCACGCCCTGATCGTTCTCCGAGGTTCGGCAACTGCATTGTGGTGCGCAAGGGTCCGAGCATTGCAGAGGCGGGTCGTCGATTGAGCCTGGCAGGTGAAGTGCCAGTTCTCTTGTGTTCAAAAAGACTCCTTTGCTTGGGCTTGGGGATAGCCATGGCCACCTACATTCCGGAAGTACACGTGGCCAGGGTTGGGCATTGCAAGGCATTGTGTGTCAAAATAGGGGACCACCCAAAAAGGTGTCTTTCCTTTTGGTTTCCCTTCAAACCAAGCTCAAAACGGACCCTCAAAAAGGGGGTATACCCTCACAAACACAGACCATCACCTGCCTTTCAAAGCGAGTTTTCTTTGAATTTCTGTGTTTATAGAGAACTTCTTGTTGACTCCGCATTCTCTTCATCCCTCGTTCTCTTCAGCAACCCATGGTAAACCCACCCCTGACCCACCCTAAACCCACCCTAAACCCACCCTTAAACTTAAACCACCAATCTAAATCCCACCCTAAACCCACCCTAAACCCACCCTTAAACTTAGACCACAATCTAAATCCCACCCTAGACCCACCATGAACCCACCATGGACTGAAGAGTGGCCGGGAACCTTCGGCCTCCCTCCGTGTCTTGGCATCCAGGCCCTGGCGGCGGCGGCTGAGGAGAGTGGCGCCACGGAGGTGCTGAGCAGCGGCGGGTGCCAGCCGGGGCTGGGGCCCTCGGGCAGCGGCCTGGACGACTTGGTGCGCCGGCGCTTGGAGGAGCAGAACGTGAAGCTCAGGCCGCGATGGCTGAGGGGAGGGGGGTGGTTTTGGGGGGGGGGGGAAATGGGGATGATGGGCGGATGCGGGTCCTTTGGGGGGGGGGAGCAGCCTGTTTTTCTAATTGCAGGCCCAGCTACAAGGTACACCTTTGGTCTTGGGATCCATGGCAGCAAAGGGTCACGGACCTTGTGCTCTTTGCGATTGTCCGGGTTAGGGCGGGACAGAGAAATGGGAGGCGCGGAGCAGCGCGAAACAGCGCAGAACAACTGTGCTGCACTTGCTCGCGAAAGTTGAACAAGTCAGCACCTCAGCACCTGGGTGTGTCTATTCTTGAGAGCATCTTTGTTTTTGTGGGTTCAAGTTTGAACGCCAAAAGGAAAGCCACCATTTTGGAGGAGGCCAACCTTAAGAAATGACGCGGCTTGGAGGCTTTTCAACTCCTTCTTCCTCTACGACTTGGAGAAGATTCGCATCGACCTGGGCACTTACCGAGGTCACTTCGGCACACTGACGCCCTTCCACCACGCCTGCATGCAGCAGCAGGTGCCGAGGCCGTTGCCAGAGCCCCCCGCCCTGCCTGGTGCCTTGGTTTCCAGCCATACAGCTCCTTAGACTTGCTTTTTCCTTCTCCGGAGTTTAGAGGGATTCATATCGGATTTATTGCATATCCCCCAAAAAGTCTCAGCAGCATAGAAGTTCAGGGTCTATGCGTTATGATGCCTTTAGCGACCATCCACTGATTTATAAGATACCTTGATGCGATACTTGGCGGGCAAACTCCTGCACCAGTTGAGAGACATGAGGCCAAAGTGGTTCCGATCGGCGGATGTGGATTTAGTCCATCCACAGTGCAAACCCTGAACCTTCGGTATGGGGTTGGTTTAGTTGGATTGTGGTGGACCCTACCAATCTTCATAACACATGGGTGTGTCATTTTTGAGGGTCCTTTTTTTGTGTGGTTTTACAGGGACACCAAAAGGAGAACCATCATATAATATCCCACTTAAAGATTAACGTTGGCCAGGTATCAACGAACTGAGGTGCACCCACTTCGCTCAAAAACCACGGCCTGGCGGTTCTGGGTTTCAGTGAGATGCCTGTGAGGAAGGATGACACAGTGCTGAAGCTCAATCTGCGTTCAGTGGGTGTGTCTTGGAATAGGGGATCCTCCCAAACTGATGGTATTCCTTTGGTTTCCCTTTAAACCAACCCCAAAAAGGGTACTTTCAAAAAAGCAGAACAGGGGACCCTGGTGGTGCGTTTTTTGCGCGTTCTGAGGCTCGCAGTCTTCTCATGGGTCAGCAATGTCAGTTGCACTTGATCTAAAACGTGCAGAGGAAACATCTTGAGAAAACAAGAAACACCAAAAACACTTGAGGAAAACCAAAAAAAAAAACCCTCGAGAAAACCAAAAGCACCAAAAAAGCCTCGAGAAAACAAAAACAACCAAAAAACACATGGTTTAGAAACTCTTTCAACATGGGTTGTGTTACAAAGAGTTTCTAAACCATGTTTTTTTGGGGTCTCGAGTTTTTTTAGTGTTTTTGGTTTTCTCGAGTTTTTTTTTGGTGTTCCTCGAGTTTTTTGGTTTTCTCGAGTTTTTTTTTTAGTTTTTTTGTTTTATCGAGTTTTTTTTTTGGGTTTCCTCGAGTTTTGTCATTTGTTCTTGTTTTTTGGGTTTTTCTTGAGTGTTTTTGGAGTATGCTATGTATATGATGGGTCCTCCTCTGTTCTTGGCTGTTGTGTATGGTTTATTCAGTTACACTTCTCTCGTGAGCAGCGCAGACGATTTCTCATGTCATGAGTCCTATTTCAAATCAACTTCACCATAAGAACTCTAATTAATTCCTCTTAAACATCCAAATAAGTGTAAGAAGTCTATTTAAACTAACTAGAAGAAAAACCAGCTTGTCTATCCTTACCAGATTCTATTAAAATTATAATTAAAGTCTAATCAAACGCCTAGATACTTAAAATTTAATTCCTATTTCAAGCATGATTCAATAACATGTAATTGAATTGCTCAGAAGAAACAATCAGCTTGTCTTTCCTTACTATATTCTAGTTAAAGTATGTTTAAATTCCAATTAAGTTTTGGACAGGAGTTCCTATTTAGACTTGGAAGGAATTTCTGTTTAAATTATAATTCAAAATATGAATTCTAGTTCAACTCTAATTGAATTCATATGTGCAAGTATAAATTCCTATTTAACATCTGAGTTATAATAAGAGTTCTAATTAAAGTCTATTTGAAATCCTACTTGGAAGGGAAGTACTATTTAAAGTCTAAATCAAATGAACCTTTGAAGTGAATTCTAATCGAACTCCCGTTTAAACTTAAAGCCTTGCAATTTAAAACTTGCAAACCAAGTGGAATAAAATGTGTATTTTCCATGGGTTTTCACCGGTCTTTCACTCCTTCTGAGGGGCTTGCAAATTAGAAGAAACAACAAGCTTGTTTCTACTTATTATATTCTATTTAAATCCCAATTAAAATCCTACTTGGAAAGGAGCCCCTATGTTAATTCTAATTCAATTCTAATTGAAATATGATTTAAACTTAAAGCGTGGCAAATTCAAGCTTGTAAACCATTAGAACTGAAATTGCATGTTCCTTGCGGTTCTATTGTTGTTTCACTCCTTTTAAGGGGCAGGCAAATTAGTAGAAACAACAAACTTGTCTTTCCATACTAGAATCTATTTGAACTCAAATTCAACTCTAATGCCAAACAGGAATGAAAGAAATATGCTAAGATAATTGCAGCTACTCTGGCTTGAATGAGCAGCAGCAATTAGCAGCATGTTACAAAAAACGAAGAAAGTAGAGGACCTTGAGTGATTCAGAAATCGCAGTTACAAACACTCTTCAGCAAAAAGCAATCGTACAATTTGCTCAAGATATCAAACCCCAAAATCACAAAAAAGTGAGTCCCCCAGTCTCCAAAAATGACGGACGCATATGGGTGTGTCCTTTTTCCATGCTATTCAAAGGGAAGCCAAAAGGACGCCACCCATTCTGGATGATTCTTATTTTATGTGAGGTCTTTTCCAAAGGGACACAGCCTTTTTGCCCCTGAATATCGCCTAAATTATCTTGTGAATCAGGTGTTTGAATGTACCTTTGTTGGGAAGAGTGTTCAGCATATTGACATTTCAGCTTCAAGCTTGTTCACCAAACCGCGTTCATCTCTTTCGGACGCGCAGTCCTCAATCTGTTTTGACTCGATGTCCTTTGCACCGTTCAGAAAAACCTCTCAACTGCTGCCATTTGCCATGTGATGTCCGGTGAACATTTCCAGTACTCAGTGGTCTATGGTTTGGGAGGAACGACTCACGAAACATCTGGCCAAAAAGCCACGCCTCTTGTGGGACCCGTTCGTTCGTTACGAGGAACTGGGGTGCCCCCATCCTGGAGAATTGGGACATCTCCGAGGCTGCTGCTCTGCGGACCCTCAGGCCCGACAGCCCGACAGCCCCATAGCCGGACCGATCTGCTCGAGATGAGTAAAGAAGAGCTGCCATGGAAATCTTCGGACGCTTGAGTGTCCTAGAATCTACTCGGGCTGCGCCATCCATCTTGTCAGAGCGGCTGGTATGCTTTTTAGGAGGGGACCCTTTGGTGGACATCCGAATTCGATGGGGGTTGATGTCCACGAACCACCTTTGAGGTCCAACTCCTGCAAGTCATAGCCATTTCAGTGGCCCTGCTTGCACATTTGTCGCCCTTGTGATACCTTAGTATAATTGATTCCCATGAACTCACTAAGATCTTTTTGCTTGGTACTCCCCTACAGCTTAACGTGGCGTGCCCAACCCACAAGTCTTAGGATCGGAAGCCTTCTGGACACGGACCCAAGTTGGGCTCCCCAAGTGGGTGTGGGTCAAAATTAAACCACTAGGATATGGTCCGCAGGTTTCAGTCCATGTTTCCATTTGCTAAGGTTCCATTTTTGATACCTATTTTTGACCCACAGCCAAGTTAGTAAGGTGTTGGTAACCTAGGCATATCCCCCAGACGATTCCGTGGAAGCTCCCAGGGAGCCCTTTCAAAGACCAACGGTTCCACTTACAGAGGCGAATTGAGGCAGCTTCCGGCTGTTAGTCCGAGTGCAACCCACGAGGCTAACCACTAGCTTGGCACACCCAAGGGGAGTATCACATGGGTTGCTTGCCTTGCTGCTTCTCGGCGAATGAGAAATGGAATGCCCCCCAAGAAAACCATCCCCTATGGTTTCCTTGATTCGGGACCCCCCAACACCGGTTCATTCCCAACACCCGGGCTCGCTGTCATTCCCTGCTTGTCGGCAACGATCGCAAGTTCCTGGAGCCCATCACCCGATCACCACCTCCAGGGTTCAGCTCTAAACATAGGCCCTCTCTGATAAACTTGTTCAAAACCAGCGTTGATAGCCATTTGTTTCTGCCAATGGAGGGCTTTGACTAAGGTAAAGAGCGCGACCTTCTGTTTTACAAACCTAGCGCGAACAGGCGCTTCCTGGGGCCGTCGGGCGGCCTGCGGCGCTACGAGCAGCAGCGGCACCTGGCGGACGCCTCCGCACTCACGCGGATCTCCCCCTACCTGCGCTCCCCGATGCGAAGAGGGGGTGGGGGTGGACCTGGTTCACGGCTTGGGCTGTTTTGGGACATGAAAGGATAGGCACATTTAAGTTTGGGCCAATTTATTCAATGAATCACTCATACCAGGATGATTTGGAGGATTTGTTTGTAAAGCAGGTGGTTCTCGGATGTACCATTTGAGTCTTTTTTGGGCGCCCTTTTTGGGCATCGGTTTGGATGGCGGGATGTTGGCATTCAGAGTTCGGGCGTTTTCCCTAGTTGCAGTTTGGAGTCCTGCAACGGCTATATGTCCATGAGTAGCCGCATCGACTGGGTCTTTGTCATCATGCCGGTTGCGCCCCGACTCACAATGATCACATGTCAGGGAAAGGGGAGCTGATCTCGCAGTCCCCTTGCTCAACGTGCAACGCCGACGCAACCCAGAGATCCCTTTCATTGAGCAAGAGAGTTTGAGCAGCCATGGCCTTTCATCTTGCGATATTGCTACGGCTTCGATTGACAGTTGGTGTGACAAGACCTACAGTTGGATGAAAGTCTTAAAGATGGCACAGTTCGAAAACAATGCTTTAGTTATTCCCATTACCTAGAGGAAAGGAATGATGCCATCTCTTTTGGTGTACCCTCCCCACAAATTCCTGTAAGAATCTGGGGGGACTGGTCCACTGGTCCCGTAGTGTCTCTGGTTGGAGCCCCTCATCTCTCAAAATGGGCAAACCCCCTTGGAAAGTAAATGGAGGGGTTTCTGAAGAGAACAATGGGTGCAACGAATGGGGGAATCAATCCTCAGCATGAGTGGCCACTTTGCGCCACGTCTGCAAGGTTTGTCTCAATCTCGACCTAAGCCGGACAAACTCAGCTAGCTGCTTATGTTTTTTGGTGTTTTGGTGCAACCAGTTGACTTAGGGGGTCTAAGTCTGGCGAAGAAAAGATCCGTTCACTCCTGGCGGGCACATGGACTTCACAGGGTTGCGCACCATCAGCACTGCTGGCAGCTTCGCTTTAGGCTAATGGTCGACGATCGCCCTTCTCCGGGGTCTCATCTTCTATCTTTGTTTTTGACAATTAGGAACATAGACGGTCTTTTTTCTACATCGCTGACCAAGAAGAGGATGCTAACATAAACGCCGGTTTCTACATCGCTCACCAAGTTCGGGCGCCAAAAAAGGGAAGGGCTCTGAGGTTTTGGCATGCTCAGCTGCCGCCTCATGTTCTTCGAGATGAAGGCGGCGGGCGCAAAGGAGCAGTCCATCGTCTACTGGCGACGCCCCTTGCCTTCGGCCACAGAAAGCTTCAGCCACGGGAGGTGAAGCCCAACTCGTGAAACGAGGTCACAAGGCAAAGGCACTCGCAATTGCTTGTTTGATTGTTTGCAAGAACCTTTGGGTGTGTCTCTCTTGGGCTTTTTTTTGGGTGGCTGTTGTAAAGGGACTACTGGAAGGATAATTCCAACATTTCATGGGCTTCCCTGCTTTGGGACGCCCCCTCATTCAAGAGATACGTCTCACCGGCAAAGGCCTGGTGTGGCGGGACTTGGCGTATTGGCAGCTCCGCATCTTCCCCGAGATGCGCGAGCGACCTATCCGCGCCCACTACCAGGTGGGAGCACGCGCGCACGCGGGGCGCGGAGCGGATGTGGGAATCTGAACACAGGTGGCTGTGGGTCGAAACCCTGATACCTCCCTACCCCCCAGATTCCCTTTAAAAATGAAAGGTTGCCCCCAAAAAAGGTATTTGGGTTTTGACCCAAGCCCATCGTTTATTTTTTGCAAAGATGGTGGGAATTCGTGGCGGGGAGCGAGCCTGGGACACTCGGGATGCACAGTTCGTTGCTGCAACCTGGAGTCTTGCTTCCAAGCCTCGGCTCAGGCTACAGGTACATGGGTCTGTCTTTTTCGAGGGGACGCCCCCCCAAAGTGATTTCCTCTTGGCTTCCCCGCAAACCACCAACAAAGGGAAGCCTCCAAAAAAGGACAGACCCCAAAATCAGCTTTCGAGGTGCGACGTCGCCGTTGTTTTGGGGGAAGCACTTGCCCAAGCCTCGCACGCGCGTCAGTTGTGCCCTTTCGCTGGCGCAGGGCCAGGCGTGGAACCGGGACGCGGAGGCGCTGAAGCGGTGGCAGCAGGGCAGAACCGGGTACCCGCTGATCGACGCGGGCATGCGGGAGCTGTGGGTTTCAGGGTGGATGGCCCAAAACGTGCGGATGGCCGCAGCCATCTTCCTTTGCGAGCATCTGAACATCCACTGGGTCGAAGGCTGGCGGAAGGATTGGGGGCGCTTGTTGTTGAAAGGTCCCTTGGCTTGTGTTAATTGTCAGCCTCTTAATCGGGGATTTACACAACCCGTGTAGATCTTCCTGTAGCTAACCGTGCCCATGGCACCTTTCCAGACCGTTTGACCACAGATCTGAGGAGTTTCTAAGAGATAGGACCAGGCAGCGTGGTCGCCAGGTTTGAGGCTGGACCACGTAGGATTTCTCTAGCCGCATGGCAGAAGTGGCTTCACGCGGCCCGCCTTCCCAGGCGAGAAGTGGTTCCACCACACCTTGGTGGACGCCGACCAGGCCATCAACCCCATGATGTGGCAAAACGCCGGGAAGAGCGGCTTGGACCAGTGGAATTTCACCATGCACCCGGCAGCGGCAGGGAAGACTCAAGATCCCAAGGGCGACTACATCCGTCGATGGTGCCCGGAGCTTGCCAAGCTGCCGACGCAGTATGTCCATGCCCCTTGGGATGCCACTTGGCAATGAGCCTTTCTTGCTCTCAAATGGTCTAGTATCAAACGGAGAAAATGATTTCTCTGAATAAGACCACTGGAAGCCAAAAAGCTTCGACTTTCATGGGATATCCCAAATCCTGCACTCCGCGCCCAAGCGTGAGGCTCAGAAACAAGGCTAGCTAGCTCTCCCAGTAGTGCCCTTTTACCAACTTTTTTTGGGGGAGGGTTCCCCTACTAAAATAGGCAAAAATAAAAAATGGTACCCTTACTCGAACCTCTCTACTGGAGGACCTAGGCACGAGTGAGTTTGGCTCCGTACGCACCATGGCCATGGCCATGGCATCTCAGGCACCCGAGCAGGTGCTGCGGGAGGCCGGCCTCACGCTGGGTGAGGCTGGGCTTTGGATGGCCGAGTTCGCGTCACGAGGCTTGAAGACCTCGCAGACTCCAGCCACAAATGCCAGGCTCCACGCTCTCATGCTTCAATGGGCCTTGGACTTGATGATTTGAGAATCCCAACCGATTTGTAAGTAGGATTGGAAGCTGTTTCCAGCTTCGATGACCCGACCAACACCCAGCGGCAACCCACGGGTTCGAGGTTGTCTTGGCTCGCCCCGAGCATTCATGTTCGACTCCGGATTCATCAATCTAACTAATAATGAGCGAATGCTTCCCCCAATCCGGATTTCCTTGACGGGTTGCACCCCGCAATCACACGTCAGCCAGGTTCTTTTTAGTTCAACTGAGTCAAGACTAGGGGGTCTGGAAAAAATGAAACCCTTAACCATCCCCTTTTGGTCGCTGGGGCAAGGGACAAACATGGGCACCCGCAGACAGACCCACAATTGTCATTGAGAATGCCTTGCAGTGGCATCGCAGAAGGGTGCTCATTTAGCGAATTTGCCAGAACCTGCTCAACAGGTCACCCAATAATCAGTCATTGGGAATGCCTTGCAGCAGGCAATTCCCACAACCCCGCCCACGTTTTGTTTTCTTCTTCTATTAGATCAACTGTGTTCTTTAAATCCCGTATTTCTTGGAAGGAGTTGGTGCGAGCCCATTTTTCGGAAAAAACAAACCGCAAAAGCAACTTGTTGTTTGTCTCCCTGCTTTTGGACTCCGTACCCCGCACCCCCCCGTTGTCCTTGGCTCAACGGGTGACGCCCCGATCGAGACCTACCCGCACCGCCTGGTGGTGGACGTGGCCGGTGCGGCCAAACGAAGCTGCGAGCTGATCCGCGAGCAGCGGAAGCGTAGCTGGGCGCCGCGGCCAGCGAGATCCCGGGGGTCCCATCCTTGTTTTGGCTCCAACAATGGCAGCGGCTTTCCTTTTGGCTTCCCCTCAAGAAACCAGCCAAAAGGGGACCCCGCCCCCCGGAGAAAGAAAGAAAGAGCATGTTTTTGGAGCCATTGGAACCTCCCAAAGTTTCGATCGCTATGAAAACTGCCGGTAAGTTGCAACCTTTGAGGGGCATCCCCTCAGAAATATTGATCTCACTTCTCGAGCGGGGGGTTCATTAGGCCTCACTACATTAGCATTTGAGGGCTGCATTCGCTTAGCTGGGCTGGACTTGTGACACATACCAAGCGCAGCCGCATGGGCCAAAAAAGCAACCAAAGTGTTTGTTTATATTGTGATTGGGGTTGATTTGGGTCAAGCTTTGGGCGTGCATTGACGGGGTCGGTGACGATGCATGCAGCTTCCGTAGCACGAAAACCCAGGCTATCAAGATGACGTCAGCTGTGACCCAAGACCAAAGGCACCCTTCCGTTTGACATGGGTCTGTCTCCTTTTGAGGGTACCCATTCGTTTTTTGGTTCAAAAGGACACCAAACGGAAAACCCCCATCTTGGAAGGGGGTCCAACCTCAAAAAAAGACCCCGCCCTCCCCCAATCTCACCGCATCTGCCCCTCCCCCCCCCCCGACGCCGCTCGAACACCGCATCTGCCCCCGCCGGCCCCGGCCGACGCCGAGATGCCTGGCGAGGACTGGATCAACGACCAGGGCTACGACCTCGTCGTCATCCCTCGCGGCGCCTCCGTGGCGCACGACGGCCAGAAGTTCCGCGTCTTCACCAAGCCGCAGTACCGGAACTCGGAGCCGGGACCGGGCGCGCCGAGCCTCGGGCCTCGATGTGGTGAGATGCGGAGACCGGGAGTTTCGGGGTTACCCCAGGGACTTAAATTTGGTTGGTTCTGTTTTTTGGTTGGGGGGGGGGGAGAAATGAGCCACTGGGTTTCTTTTGTTGTTTGGGGGGGGGATGAGCCACTGGGTTTCAAGTGTATTTTGGAGCAATCCAAACGTGGCGAGCCGAGCTTTGGCGATGGTGGACGAAATCCATGTCTCACTACTTGGGATGGATGAAACCCTATGGGACAAGCCCTCGAGCTTCTGGTGCCAGGTTTTGTCCATCCGCAGTATTGAGACTCCGAGATAGGAGTAAAACCCGCCAGCTAACCCCTAAAACAGTGAGGCTTGATTTTTCGGGGCAACGTGGGATGGCGGGGTTGAACCCTATTCTGAAACACCCCAAGACACCTTCAACATGAGTTAGAGCAGTTGAAAGTAGAGATGCCAGCAAAGAACATTTTGCAAGCCAATGAAGCTGCTCCTGAGAACATGAGCATTGTGCAGCATCCCTTGGCTGGTAATATGGGTGCTTCCTCAAACTGGGGGACCCCTCCAGGTAGGGTAGCTTCCTTTTGGGTTCTCTTTTACACCGTCTAAGAAGAGCTCCCCTTTGAGAAACCCCAGCAGTGCAGCTGAGGGCTGGCAGTGAAGGCCAGCGAGGCAAAGGCCGCGGCAAAGGTCGCGGCAAGGGCCGCGGCAAGGAGACGGATAAGCCGAGCGCATCGGGCGCATCCAATCAGACGGTCCTGGATGAGTACATGCGCGCCTGGGGCGGCTGAGCTTAAAAAATCTTTGTTGTGAGCATGGCATAGGCGGCCATGGAGGACTGCCACGAAAAGCAGCTCACATTCTGTCCACAAATAGTGGAGGTCATTGCTTTTGAAGACATCTTCGAAGAGTTTCGGCTCTTCCCCGCACTTTCCAAAGGTTCCTGCTTGCATCTTGGTCTGGAGGTGTTCTCCGGATCGCGGAGCATCCCGCGGTTTCCTTGCTTCGAGCACGCAGCAAAAAGGAGTGCTTTGAAACATGTGCAGAGAAACAGCCCACGCCGCTTGTGACGGAGGTTGACCAGAGGTATTTGTTGACCAAAATGGGAGTCTGAGTCTCATGTTTCGTTGCTTTTCGGGATAGAGATGATAGGTCAAGGATTGAGCAGGTTTGAATGAACGGACAATGACGTGTGTCTTCCAGTTTGAAGCAGTTATTGAAGGGTCATGCTTTTTGTGCTGAAACAAGTCGACTTTGCATGAGAGATCTGTCGCAAGCTTCGGTCCAAGAGCACCAAGGGCTTGAGCCCGTGGAGCATATCGCAGCGCGCTGTGGAAATAACGGCCTGCATCCAGAGTAAGCAGCAAGCGTTGCACCTCACTTTTTTTGAAAGGACGCAAGCTTGAAGCGGAGCGCAAAGACTCCGCGCAAAGCCACATTTCCAGAAGTAAAGGAGCAGCTGCGCCTCAAAGCAAAGTGCCACTTTTTGCGCGGCGCCCGCGCTTTAGAGCGCCGGGCGATGAGCACCGAGGAGCCATGGGATTTGGTGCGCCTCGCGCTCGGCTCTTTGGCCGGGGAGTCCTGGCGCGTGAAGCAGGCCGGAAGCCGAAGGAACGCGCCACGGAGTCAAAAGGGGAGAAATGCCATCTTTGGTGTTGACTCGGTTGAGAATCAGTTGAATCAGTTGCGAACCAGTCGCGAACTAGTTGAATTAGTTGAGAATCAGTTGAAAATCAGTTGAGAATCAGCTACATCAGTTGAGTCAATTGCGAACTAGTTGAAGTACTTCAGAATCAGTTGAGAATCAGCTACATCAGTTGAGTCAATTGCGAACTAGTTGAATTAGTTGAAAATCAGTTGAGAATCAGCTACATCAGTTGAGTCATTTGCGAACTAGTTGAATTAGTTGAGAATCAGTTGAGAATCAGCTACATCAGTTGAGTCAATTGCGAACTAGTTGAATTAGTTGAGAATCAGTTGAGAATCAGCTACATCAGTTGAGTCATTGCGAACTAGTTGAGTCATTTGCGAACTAGTTGAATTAGTTGAGAATCAGTTGAGAATCAGCTACATCAGTTGAGTCATCAGTTGCAGAATCTCAGTTGAATTAGTTGAGAATCAGTTGAGAATCAGCTACATCAGTTGAGTCAGTTGAGAACCAGTTGAATTGTTGAGAATCAGTTGAGAATCAGCTACATCAGTTGAGTCAGTTGAGAACCAAGTTGAATTAGTTGAGAATCAGTTGAGAATCAGCTACATCAGTTGAGTCAGTTGAGAACCAGTTGAATTAGTTGAGAATCAGTTGAGAATCAGCTACATCAGTTGAGTCAGTTGAGAATCAGAAGTCAGTTGAATTTTCAGTTGAGAATCAGTTGAGAATCAGTCAGTTGACCATCAGTTGAGAATCAGTTGAGAATCAGCTACATCAGTTGAGTCAGTTGAGAAAGTTGAATCAGTTGAGAATCAGTTGAGAATCAGTTGAGTCATCAGTTGAGTCAGTTGAGAGTCAGTTGAAGTTAGTTGAGAATCAGTTGAGAATCAGCTACATCAGTTGAGTCAGTTGAGAACCAGTTGAATCAGTTGAGTTGGTTGAGTGAGTTGAGAATTAGTTGAGAACCACCGTGACTTTTGGCTTGTTCACTCCAGCCAGATCCCCGCTTGTTGCAGGACACAAGTTGGCCATCCGAAGCAAGCGTTTTTTCACAGGCAAACCACCCTATTCGGCAATGTTCAGGAAGATAATCTGAGAAACTCCATTAAAAAAAGGGCCACTTGGAAGCGTTTCGCCCATTTCCAGCTTCCTTCATCTAAGCGGCAAGTTGTCACTGGCGAAACATGCATGGGAAACCTGATGTGCTTTCTGCATCCCCCGATCTGGGGAGATTTATGTATGGGCTTCTGAGTGTTCCCACCCGGGGCTTGGGTGTTGTGCTGTTGGCTTCCCGAACCAAGGCAACCAAGGTGGGTTAAAACACCCGCCCGGTTTCTCCAATTGGTGCCCTAGTGAATCAGATTCCAATTCCTTTTGGTTTCCCTTCAACATCACCATCAAAAGGGGACCAACTCAAAACACACTCACAATGAGAAGACTTTATTGGGGATTCCCCAACACTGTTCCAGTCCCCAGGCCTCCCCCCCCTCCCCCACTGCCTTCCCCCTCCCGCCCCTTCCCCCGAGGCCTTCCGGGAGATCTCCCAGGCCTGGCGCCTGCGGACGGTGAGTGGCAGCTGGTGGCAGGACGCTCGCTGAGTCAACGGGCGGGCGGGCGGGGGGGGGGGGGGAACACGAGGACCTGGCGGGAGCACCAGGAAAAGACCGGGGAAAACCGAGGAAAAGACGAGGGGAACACGAGGGAAAGGACGAGGGGAGAGTGCGGGAAAACGCGGAACATGGGGGAAGAAGAGCGGGGGTGCTGGATCTTCGAGTCCAGAAAATTTGCTGCGAGCAGCAACAGAGAGAGCGAGAAAGAGAGAGAGAGAGAGAGAGAGAGAGAGAGTGAGAGAGAGCGAGAGAGAGAGAGAGGGATGTTGGCTCTGAGCCAGCTACTAACAGGCTAGTCGTTATCATTTGCTTGATTTCCAACGTTTACAGCAATGCGGATGATTTACAGCGCACTTGCCAAGGAGAGTGGGGAGGTCAAGTAAGTGGAAAGCAACATGCCGCGGAGGGGGGCATACCATTGTGATTGTCAAATCGCTCGTCTTTTGCTGAAACCGTTGTGCAGGAGTATCAGAAAACGCAGACCTTCGACCAGTTCAAGTGCGCAATGCCGTTCAGACCAAACACCGCCTCCACCATTCATGATCCGGTCTCAGACTTGTGTGGAGTGTCCCAAGTCGCAAGCCGCTGTCAGATTTGTTGACATTGTAACTGACAACGCAAGCGATGATTCTGACAATGCCCTGGGCTGGCCTTTTTGGTGCTTGCTTGCTTGCTTGCTTGCTTGCTTGCTTGCTTGCTTGCTTGCTTGCTTGCTTGCTTGCTTGCCTGCCTGCCTGCCTGCCTGCCTGTTTGTTTGTTTGTTTGTTTGTTTGTTTGTTTGTTTGTTTGTTTGTTTGTTTGTTTGTCTTTCTGATTGTTTGTTTGCTTGTTTGTCTGTTTGCTTGCTTGCTTGTTTTTGTTTGTCGGTTTTTCTTGTTTGCGGACAGACAGAAAACAAGCGAGCCGTTGCATTTTCAGACGAGTCTTGGTTACAGGCGACCGTGCAAGGTCGTCATTATTGGGGACGACGAGCAGCTCAACCGGCACATCAACTTGGAACAGGCGCTTTTTGCTCTTGATCGAAGAGGATCTCTTCTGAGGTGAAGTCTGACATTGGCATGAGTCCGCGACACGCCTCCTATGGTTCATTGCAAAATTCCGATGGATTCCTTTAGTTTCATATGGTTCCTATGGTTCCTATGCTTCGCCATTTTGAGGCCCCCTGTTAGAACCTGCGATGGTAGGTGCTGAAGCACCTGGAGGTCTTTATCGGCTTCAAGGTACAGATTCGAGGCGCAGCGGCTACTTCATGCGGGAATGGAGCAGAAAAGACCGCCCATTTTTTTTGGATTCCACATGGGTACTTCGTAATTGTTTAGTAATCTTTTAGTATTCTTTTAATATCCTACAGGGGTGGATCCACAAAAGTCGCAAATACCGTTTTCCAGAAACCAAGTCCTTGCTTTAAAGGGGCGATCGGTTTCTTAGTAAGTGGTTAGTAAGCCTGACTATAACCCACTTATAATGGTTATAAGTCTCCGTTCAGAGGGTGTCCCTTCAAGTACAGGGAAGCGCCCCCCCAAAACTACTTGCGGGTTTCTTTCTTTCCGGGTGCCCCTCTCATCTGGTTCTAAGAAACACCCCAAAAGGAAACTCGCCATGGAAAAAGACACGCCCATTTGGCCGTTGGTGTTCTCATGAACCCGACAACAAGGGTTGCCCAATTAAAGATGAGCATGTGTGTGTGTAAGCGTGCGTTGGCGCTTGTTGTCTTCCAGAAAAGGATGGCCTTCAACCTCAAAGAAAGAAACCCTTAAAGACACCTACATTCAACTCTCAGCCACTCGGACTTGGTTTTTTGCATCAAACTTGAAGACCAAAAAACTCAGGGCTGGGCACACCCAGGCAAGAAGGATCATAGAATGTATCTGCAGCCAGTCGTACCTTGAATGCTTCAGAGCTGCGCATGCCAAAGCAGGGGCCAGGGGAAACGGGAGAGGTGTCTCCAAAGTGGTTGCTGGACATGAGGCCCCACCATTTTTTCTGTGTCCACCACAAGGCCCCCCGTTTTGTTTTTGTTTTTTTTGCCATGTGTGTTTTTGCCATGTGTTTTTTTTTTTCCCCAGATAGCTGAAAGCTATAGGGGTTCTAACTTCTAATAAAGAAGGAAAAATGATTTGCGAGATTGAGGGCCGGGTGCTAGGGGGCATGCAGTTTGGGGCGCTGGTGGAGGTGCTGCTTTGCGAGCTTGACGGCCGGGTGCCAGGGGGCAGGCAGCTTGGGGTGCTGGTAGTGGAGGTGCTGTTTTGCGAGAGTGATGGTCGGGTGCTAGGGGGCATGCAATTTGGGGTGTTGGTGGAGGTGCTGTTTTGCGAGATTGACGGCCGGGTGGCATGCAGTTTGGGGCGCTGGCGGAGGTGCTGTTTTGCGAGAGTGATGGCCGGGTGCTAGGGGGCATGCAGTTTGGGGTGTTGGTGGAGGTGCTGTTTTGCGAGATTGACGGCCGGGTGGCATGCAGTTTGGGGCGCTGGTGGAGGTGCTGTTTTGCGAGCTTGACGGCCGGGCGCTAGGGGCACGCAGTTTGGATGTTGGTGGAGGTGCTGATTTGCGAGAGTGATGGCCGGGTGCTAGGGGGCATGCAGTTTGGGGTGTTGGTGGAGGTGCTGTTTTGCGAGAGTGATGGCCGGGTGCTAGGGGGCATGCTGCTAGTGGAGGTGCTGTTTTGCGAGAGTGATGGCCGGGTGCTAGGGGGCAGGCAGTTTGGGGTGTTGGTGGAGGTGCTGTTTTGCATGGCCGGGCGCTAGGGGGCATGCAGTTTGGGGTGCTAGCGGAGGTGCTGTTCTGCGACAGTGATGGTGGAGGTGCTGATTGACGGCCGGGCGCCAGGTGTTCTTTGCGAGATTGATGGCCGAGCGCTACGGGGCATGCAGTGGGTGCTGGTGGAGGTGTTGCTTTGCGAGAGTGATGGCCGGGTGCTAGGGGGCATGCAGTTTGGGGTGTTAGTGGGGGTGCTGTTTTGCGAGAGTTGGCCGGGCGCTAAAGGCATTCAGTTTGGGGTGTTGGTGGAGGTGCTGTTTTGCGAGAGTGATGGCCGGGTGCTAGGGGGCATGCGGTTTCGGGTGTTGGTGGAGGTGCTGTTTTGCGAGATTGACGGCCGGGTGCCAGTGTAGTTCGGGGTGCTGGTGCTGTTTTGCGAGCTTGACGCAGTTTGGGGTGGTGGTGCAACTGCTGTGTTGGGTTGCCGGGGTTCTAACTTCTAATGAAGAAGTGGGATTGTTTTGCAAGATCGACGGTTGGGAGCTAGGGGGCATGCACTTTGGGGCGCTGGCGCAGGTACAGTTTTGAGGCGCTGTTCGGGCTGGTGACAGTACGTGACGGCAAGGCGCTCGGTGCTCGGGGACCATGCTGGTGCGGGTGCTGCGTTGGGGTGCTGTTGGGGCTGCTGTCTTGAGGTGTTGGTGACGGTGTGGGCGCATATGGACGGCAAGGTGCTAGGGCGGGTGCTGTTTCATGATGCCGTTGAACCGGTTCGGACGTTGTTGCTGCTCTAGTAGTCTGGCTGGTGTGTCATCATGATGTTGTCACCCGCGTCATGATGCTGCTGTCACTGCGATGCTGCGATGCTGCGTTATGGTTCGTGGGTGTGGTGGCGCCATGATTACTGTCAACATCAGGATGATGCTGAATTTCACTACGCTGTCGCGAGAAGATTCGTGGCTGTGGTATCATCATGATGCTGCCTTTTCAATTTTACCATTACCATGATGCTGTTCGCATCACCATGATGCTGTCCGCATCATGGTGGTGCTGTCCGTATGATCGTCATGCTGTCCGCATCATCATGATGCTGTCGAACTCATCAGGACGTCGTCTCTGCCATTTTTCTGCTAGATATGTGGCGCGGAATCGTTCGTTGCTGGTGCATCAGCATGATGCTGTCAATATCTTCATTTTTGCTGCTGAACTCATTAGGACGCTGTCTTCGTGTCTATTTAGCGCACATGCTGAGTGGCTGTGGTATCATCATGGTGCTTTCAACATCATCATGATGCTGTCAACATCATCATGATGCCTCGAAAACCATTATGATGCTGCATAATGGTTCGTAGCCGTGATGTGCTATCTGGGGTCTACGCTGGTGTAATTTTTTCCCCAGATAGCTGAAAGCTATAGGGGTTCTAACTTCTAATAAAGAAGGAAAAATGATTTGCGAGATTGAGGGCCGGGTGCTAGGGGGCATGCAGTTTGGGGCGCTGGTGGAGGTGCTGCTTTGCGAGCTTGACGGCCGGGTGCCAGGGGGCAGGCAGCTTGGGGTGCTGGTAGTGGAGGTGCTGTTTTGCGAGAGTGATGGTCGGGTGCTAGGGGGCATGCAATTTGGGGTGTTGGTGGAGGTGTTGTTTTGCGAGATTGACGGCCGGGTGGCATGCAGTTTGGGGCGCTGGCGGAGGTGCTGTTTTGCGAGAGTGATGGCCGGGTGCTAGGGGGCATGCAGTTTGGGGTGTTGGTGGAGGTGCTGTTTTGCGAGAGTGATGGCAGTTTGGGGCGCTGGTGGAGGTGCTGTTTTGCGAGCTTGACGGCCGGGCGCTAGGGGCACGCAGTTTGGATTTTGGTGGAGGTGCTGATTTGCGAGAGTGATGGCCGGGTGCTAGGGGGCATGCAGTTTGGGGTGTTGGTGGAGGTGCTGTTTTGCGAGAGTGATGGCCGGGTGCTAGGGGGCATGCTGCTAGTGGAGGTGCTGTTTTGCGAGAGTGATGGCCGGGTGCTAGGGGGCAGGCAGTTTGGGGTGTTGGTGGAGGTGCTGTTTTGCATGGCCGGGCGCTAGGGGGCATGCAGTTTGGGGTGCTAGTGGAGGTGCTGTTCTGCGACAGTGATGGTGGAGGTGCTGATTGACGGCCGGGCGCCAGGTGTGCTTTGCGAGATTGATGGCCGAGCGCTACGGGGCATGCAGTGGGTGCTGGTGGAGGTGTTGCTTTGCGAGAGTGATGGCCGGGTGCTAGGGGGCATGCAGTTTGGGGTGTTAGTGGAGGTGCTGTTTTGCGAGAGTTGGCCGGGCGCTAAAGGCATTCAGTTTGGGGTGTTGGTGGAGGTGCTGTTTTGCGAGAGTGATGGCCGGGTGCTAGGGGGCATGCGGTTTCGGGTGTTGGTGGAGGTGCTGTTTTGCGAGATTGACGGCCGGGTGCCAGTGTAGTTCGGGGTGCTGGTGCTGTTTTGCGAGCTTGACGCAGTTTGGGGTGGTGGTGCAACTGCTGTGTTGGGTTGCCGGGGTTCTAACTTCTAATGAAGAAGTGGGATTGTTTTGCAAGATCGACGGTTGGGAGCTAGGGAGCATGCACTTTGGGGCGCTGGCGCAGGTACAGTTTTGAGGCGCTGTTCGGGCTGGTGACAGTACGTGACGGCAAGGCGCTCGGTGCTCGGGGACCATGCTGGTGCGGGTGCTGCGTTGGGGTGCTGTTGGGGCTGCTGTCTTGAGGTGTTGGTGACGGTGTGGGCGCATATGGACGGCAAGGTGCTAGGGCGGGTGCTGTTTCATGATGCCGTTGAACCGGTTCGGACGTTGTTGCTGCTCTAGTAGTCTGGCTGGTGTGTCATCATGATGTTGTCACCCGCGTCGTGATGCTGCTGTCACTGCGATGCTGCGATGCTGCGTTATGGTTCGTGGGTGTGGTGGCGCCATGATTACTGTCAACATCAGGATGATGCTGAATTTCACTACGCTGTCGCGAGAAGATTCGTGGCTGTGGTATCATCATGATGCTGCCTTTTCAATTTTACCATTACCATGATGCTGTTCGCATCACCATGATGCTGTCCGCATCATGGTGGTGCTGTCCGTATGATCGTCATGCTGTCCGCATCATCATGATGCTGTCGAACTCATCAGGACGTCGTCTCTGCCATTTTTCTGCTAGATATGTGGCGCGGAATCGTTCGTTGCTGGTGCATCAGCATGATGCTGTCAATATCTTCATTTTTGCTGCTGAACTCATTAGGACGCTGTCTTCGTGTCTATTTAGCGCACATGCTGAGTGGCTGTGGTATCATCATGGTGCTTTCAACATCATCATGATGCTGTCAACATCATCATGATGCCTCGAAAACCATTATGATGCTGCATAATGGTTCGTAGCCGTGATGTGCTATCTGGGGTCTACGCTGGTGTAATTTTTTTTTTGGGGGGGGGGTAAATCAATCGTTCATTGCCATCTTTATATATATATATATAGAATATTTTCGGCCGTCGAATCAGGCGACAGCGAGCGCCCCATGCCTCGCATGCGCCTCAGCGCTGCGGGGCAGCGCACCGCAGTGGACGGGGTGCCGCAGATCGGGGGGCACTACGTGCTGGCCTTCCTGCAAGGCGCCTTCGAACTCCGACGGGGGGCCAGTGTCTCGGGTCAAAATCAAAGGATATATCGGATATGGACAGGTGTTAGTCCTTTCCATTCACCAGGGCATCCCGTTTTGCGGGTATGTCTGATCCACAGCCAGGTAAGCCTTCACTGTTGTTTGTTGATTTTTTTGGGACCAAGCCAACAATCCAACTAGAGGGAAGCTGATTTTGCGGTGTTTGTCGCCTTGCTATTGCAGGGCACGAGGACTCCCCTCGTGTTGCCTGGTTGCTGGGGCCCCCCAATCTAGGCCCAGACTATTGGCAAAAAAGTGCTCGGGGAAAACTTTCTTTCGGGTCTGCCTCATTGTTGTTTGTTTGGATGGTGCTAAAGGGAAACACAACCTGGAGGTGTAACCCATTTTTCAAGGGTAACCCCCTAAGTCATTTTTGGATGATGCTAAAGGGAAACACAAGGAACCCCACCCGTTTGAGAGCCCATTTGCGGGGGCGCTGCCAGGTGCTTTGGACCCAAGAGCGCCTTGTGCCCAGTGAGACTGGGCAACTGGACCCGGTCACGTCCATGTCTAAGTCCCACGCCGGTCTTCATGAAAGTCAAGAGCTGAAGGGGTGGTTCGTTCCGCTTGATGTTTTACGGGTACGTCTGCCTCGATGTGGCTTGTGACAATACAAATGGTGAGTTTATGTTTACCAGACCTTCACGCCTTTTGCCATGCACTGGCGATGGAGTGCATTCAAGTGCACTAAGGGCCTGCACGCTTGCAGTGACTCCGGCGGACCTCTACCCGCCAGAGAACTACGACTATGTCACGGGTATGACTGTGTTCGTCGGGTGTGAGATTTGTTGTGGAAGGTGTACTCGGTAACTTGCTGGTGAAGGGGGCCTTTTGGAGCCATCGTGACATACAGACGCTTGCAGCCAGCCTGTCAGGTTGACTGATTGCATCTGATTGCTTTGCACATGTCGCCGCCCAGCAAACAAATAGAGGGGACAGTGCGCATGTGTAGGGCCAAGCCGTGTCTTGGAGTCCCGACCTTCACAGGGAACAGGAACAACGACGTTGTACAGTGACAACCTTGCCACAACCGGCAAGTTGCAAGGGAAATTCCTTGCGGGTGGTTACTTTGAATTGTTCAAGTCTGCGCATCGAACTCAAGAGTTCTTGACTCTGGGCTTGGTTTGACAGAGCCCTCTATCTATTGACCTTTTCGGTCTCAGACCTCACCGTTTCGGCTTCAGTCTTCGGTCGGTTTGCGCCTCGGGTGGATGGTTTTTACCGGGAAAATGCTGGGAGCCCTGTGGTGCCTGCGAGGACTGATCCCGGAGATCGTTTGGGCCTCTTCTCCAGTGCCAGGTGAGGAGTGCGAACAAAAATCGCAGGGATTTGGGACCATGGGAAGGGCCTTCTGTTTTGGGAACCCCCGAGCCAACCTTCAGGAAAAGAGAAAAAAACACTTCGCAGTTGTTGGCAAGTTTTGCGCTGTTTGGGGGGTTCTCTTCATTTTTAGCAGGGGAGCTGCAAAAAGCAAAGCCTTTTACTACCATAGCAAAGGCGGACCTGCAAAATACACGCACACACACACACACCAAATGCTAAGCTGCCGATGCTTGCAAAGACTGCCTGCAAATCATGCTGCCGAAACTGAGCAAGAATGGTGCCGTGTCACCCTGCCAGATACTTTGCGACGCATCGTGAGGACTGCGTGCGTGGAGGTGATTCAGAGCTTACATGTCCGTGTCAAGCTGCTTCTATGTGCAAGAGCTGAGACAGTTTCACCCTTGAACATGATGAGCATCCAACTCGTTTCAAGCTGGTCGAGGAGACGCAACGTGCAAGCGTATTTTCAGAGGCGGACTCCCTACGAGCATCAGAGAGCGCCGATCTTAGCTGCACGAGCAAATATGGCCCTTGATCGGGATGTCAAGTTATCCAGGGTGAGTGGGCAAGATTTAAGATACGGTTGCTTTACAGGATTCGGAAGCTTGTTTGGTGCCGGACCCACAATTCCCGGGACAGTAATCACCTTGTTAGAAGGTTGTCAAAAGTAGGGGCCCTTTTAAAGGTATCTTCTTTAAAAGGCGGCACAAGGCGGCACCAGGTCCCAAAAAGGATCCATATGTTTGACAACACCCCACAAAATCTTTGAGGCAAAGGAAGATGGCGCTGGCACAGCTCAACTGGCACGGCCATGTCACAATGAGGTGCGCTCCATGGTCCTGGCCCGGGACATGCCCCAGCCTCACTCTGCTTCTTTTTTGCGAAGGAAGAACCTGGGTGAATTACACCGACCTCACACGACCTCACCCCATTTGGTTTATGTGGGGAATAGCCCCCCAACCACCTTCTTTCCGGTTGGTGAAATATTATAATTCACCCAGCACCGCCGAACCAGTGATGCACCAGGATCACGATGGGTTTGTCGGTTGGTGTCTTTGGTTTCCCTTACTGTTGCAAGTGAATCCTGCCACATGAGGGGGGCCAAAACGGCCAGCTGCCATTGCTCCATTTCTGCCACTGAACTGACCCCTTGCTTGCTGAGAGTTCGGAAGCAAAGCGAGTGGACACATTGCCAAGTCGGTGCGGAACCGGCGGATAGAGCTCTCCAAGATCTTCGCTGCTCGATTGCACGTGACGCCCTGGGGCTGAGGTTCGGTTTGCTCTCCCTGCCGCCTTGCTCTCTTCTGGGTTTTTGCTCTCTTCCGGGTTCTTGGTTGATGTGAAATTCCAGCATCCGTCAGACTTCTGTGTCGCAATTGTCCAGATGTTCGGTCTGCGGCCCGGGAGTTGCTTTGATGATGAAGCATGTTCAAGGCAAGCAAGGGCAGCCAAATCAGCAAGCAAGGCCACACCAGCGCACATCCTTCACAATTTCAACCTAGGGATCGCAGTTGCATCGTGACGTGGAATTGGACGCAGTGTTCGGTCTATCTTATAGTCTTTCATGGTGAGCTTCCTTTTGGTTTCTCTTTGAAACTTCCAAAAGAGGCACCCTCCCACCCCCGAACATAGAAGCTGACTTTCCGGGGTCCTGGAAGACGACTTTCCTGGTCAAAGGGACCCTCTGGGGCAAGGTGGACAGAAGAGCATCATCTCTCGTTGGTCTTTTGGAGGTTCTCAACCCACCAGCGGGTCAAACGTGGAGGGAGCCGACATTTGGGGTTGGACGGCCGCCATGGCCGATCGAGGCGAAGCTGCTGTGCCGTGAGACCTTGAAGCTGTGTGGGGCCAAAGAGTGCCGTTTGCTGCCGGGACGCCCAGAGTTTTGCGCCTGCCGTGGGCGTGTCCGTTTTGGTTTTAGCTGGGCCAGTTTTCAGCGAGGGTTCTGGGGTTCCGGGGCTGTTGGTGCCGCCTGGGCTGATTTTGTAAGGGTATCCTTTTTGGAGTGCTTTAAAAAAGGAAGCCGAAGGGACAACCACAATTTGTGGGGTGGGTGTGGGTGTGGGTGTGGGTGTGGGTGTGGGTGTGGGTGTGGATGTAGGTGTGTGTGTGTGTGTGGGTGTGTGTGTGTGTGGGTGTGGATGTAGGTGCGTGTGTGCGTGTGTGCGTGTGTGCGTGTGTGCGTGTGTGCGTGTGTGCGTGTGTGCGCGTGTGCGCGTGTGTGCGTGTGTGCGTGTGTGCGTGTGTGCGAGTGTGCGTGCGTGCGTGCGTGCGTGCGTGCGTGCGTGCGTGCGTGCGTGCGTGCGTGCGTGCGTGCGTGCGTGTGTGTGTGTGTGTGTGTGTGTGTGTGTGTGTGTGTGTGTGTGTGTGTGTGTGTGTGTGTGTGTGTGTGTGTGTGTGTGTGTGTGTATGTGTGTGAGGGTGTGGGTGTGGGTGTGGGTGTGGGCGTGGGTGTGGTGTAAATAAATACATATATATATATAATTTATATCTATATTTATGTGAGGGTGTGGGTGTGGGTGTGGTGTAAATAAATACATATATATATATATAATTTATATCTATATTTATGTGAGGGTGTGGGTGTGGGTGTGCGTGCGCGTGGGCGTGGGCGTGTGCATGTGCGTGTGCGCGTGCGCGTGTCCGTGTGCGTGTGCGCGTGCGCGTGTGCGTGTGCGTGTGCATGTGCGTGTGCGCGCGTTTGTTTTGATGGTAAGCTTTTCAGCTTGGAAGCAATACGGGAAGCCAAAAGGAACGAAGCCACTTTGGGTGTCCCCCTTTGACACGTATGGGCCGGTGAGTTGAAACAAGGCATTGCCTCATGAACCCGATGCCGGAGATAGATGGCCAAGTCGTGCCAGAGGCGGGACACCGGCTGAAGGCAACCCGACAAAGACTGGCGATCAGGAAAATTCATGAAGGCGTTGCTCAATCAAGAATACTCGAGCAATCAGTTTTATAGACGCTTGCATTGGGTGTGTATATATATATATATATATTTCAGCCGTGTTTTAAGACAACATACCCCGATGGTTTTTATCATAGTCCCACGACCCGCGGGCTCGAGTTTGCCAGGGCATCTCGCTGCTGCCTTTCTCCCTGTGCTGCATCTGCCTGCGGAAGCTCCAGTGGCTCACGCAGGCGCGGGGGGAAATGCCAGATGTTGACCTGGCAACTTGAAGACATCGACCGTGGGTACCATCCCATTTTACACCTCTATTTTAGTGGTTGGATTGGGATGTTCACTGGGGGTCCGATTTGGATTTTGACCCATGGCCACATCCACCGTGGCGGAGTTGAAAAGGCCAGACTCGGCGGTGATTTGCACCGCCGCCGTCCGTCCCTTCGCATATCCGCGGGGCCCGGCGGCGAGGGAAACGGAAACCACGAGGCAGACCTCCTGGACCGCTATGCGCGAATTCCAGCCGTCACCAATGCATGGTTCTGGGAGGAGCGCCGAAAGCGCGATTCGTGTTTCGAGCAGATCACGTGCAGCTCTGCATTTGAGCTACGATCAAAACCCGGGTAGATGAAGGTTGGTAAGGGACAATCCCAACCATAAATAGCTGCGGCCACCTTCTTAATTCCTTACATGGTTCTGGGTAGACCATGTTAGTACTGGGTTTTGATTGTGACTCATTTGGGTTTGTTCGGGTTTTGGAGGGCACCCTCCTTGGACGGGTGTTTAACGGGAAGCCAAAAGGACACCCAGCCATTTTGGCCTTGGATTCCGGTGATGAGACAGATCCGTTTGCTATGAATGCTATTGGAGTCGAGGAGACCCAGTGGCTGTGGACGCGCATGGTGCAGGCTCATCGGCCTGCGGAGCGCGCATTGCCCCGTGACACGAGACGTTTTAGGGTACCAGGTCCCTTAATGGAATTGGGGAGGGAGTTCGACCCGAAGATCTCCATGGCAACCCCATGTTCCCGCAACAATGAATGCAGGATAAATGGAATTCGGTGACCCTCCTGCTTGAACTGGGGCGACAGACGATTGAATTTCCTCAACCTCTTTTTGTGGCCAGAAGGCTCTGGGCCAGATACCGTAGAGTGGAAGACCTGCCACACTGGTTGCTTAGCTTGTCAGGTGGGAATGCCCACATCAGTGTGCCAGAGCATCCCGCAGCCCACAGGAGACCCGGCAGTGGTCGCTCGCATGTCCAAAAGAGAGCCCTGGGGCATCCGCAAACATCATCCGCGGCCAAGAAGATGCGAACCGCGGAGTCTCATGAGACGTGATCATATTCAGCAACCAGTGGGGTTGCCCATGATGTCGTTGAGCATATTCCGGTCACGTCCCACTATCTAAACATTTTATTTTTTTTAAAGGTGAGTCTTACCCGTGGCGCTGGTTTTGCTGTCAAGGGATTCCTGAAGTCAAGGGCACTTGAGCAGGCTCCAAGTTCAAGTTCGGCCTGGCCAAGCGTGCGCCACTCAGAGTGGCGGAGTCGCGGCACGGAGACAGGTCAAAGAACGTGGGGTTGTTATTTGTTGGGGAGCCGCCCTTTTGGTGGGTTTAAGGCGAAACATGGGGAACCCGAGGGTTGAAAACCCACCATTTTGGGGGTACCCAACATGTTTTAGACACGCCATGGAACTCCAATGCTGATGTCAAAATGTTCAAGTCAGACAACTGACTTGGGGCCCCGACTGATGATCTTTGCGCTCCGCTTGAGTTGGTGTAAGACACCGGAGTCTGTGCTACCAGGTAAGAATGACGACGATGAAGGCCCGGGGGTCGGCGCTTTAATCAAATGTCCGCAAGAAGTGCATGAGGCTCAGCTAGAGGCCATGATGCAAGGATGACTCCAGTTCAATCATTTCAGATGCTGCCTGGCAGGATGAGTTGCAGGCAAAAGAAGGCAGAGCAAGAAGCTGCAGATGACCCAGTTCTGGGCCCAACGCTTCCAGTGAAGACGGCATGTTCGGATATGGATGCCTGAGCTGCCAAAGGTGCAGCCATGGTGGAGTTCGACTCAGGGTTCGCCTGGTCCACTGGTGCCCCGGGATACAGACCCACGGATTTTGACAAGAAAAAGAGAGACGCCTTCCTGATGTATGGGGTAATTCCGAGCTTTGCAATCGGGCGCAGGCAAACCCGCTTCGACCCAAACCGAAACCAAGTCGGACCTCAGCGGAGCAAAGCCCCGTAGGCGATAAATCGCCTGGCGACTGCAATGATTCTCAGAGCAGCAGAATATGCTGTAATCCCCGCGAGAGCTTCAACACGTGGCTGGGAGTCAAAGGCCATGGCAATGAGTGGCCTCTGTCGGGTACGCAGGTTTCTGGGTATTGGTTTTGGCCAAGCCCTATCGGTGTTGGGTTGAAATGTGGTCGGGTTCATGTCAGAACTGGTTTGGTTTCAAGCTGGACGACAGTGCCACTGGCATTGTGCTCGGCTGGCACCAGGCTCCAGATAGCGCTCATGGCGTCACAAAGACATGAAGGAGGTGTCTTTTCTTAGGACAAATTGTGGATTCCCCTTGAATTTCCTTTCACTCCAAGACCAACCTTCATATACCCACGCTGACAACACAACAGTCACGCCTGTCATTCGATTCAGACGATCGCCCCACGATGCAGCTTTATATTTTGAATCGGCACCTGCCAAGGATGGCGAAGTTTGAATAATCTCAATGGGTGGTTCCTGTTGGTTTCCCTTTGAACCAACACATGAAGTGGGTGCCAACCTTTCGTCCAGTATGTGTGCTGTGCAACTCGAAGCACTTGTCTCGGGAAGGGTGGCCATGGCATGGCAGCCTTCAGGAGAGGTATGGCTCCTTGCGCACGGACCGAAGGCCAAAGAGTTCATGGCGCCTTCGGATGCCCGTGCTGCAGAGTCCAGGGAGAAGCTTTCGGAGGACACGCTGGTGTGTCGGGTTGGATTGCTTGCTCAAGCCGTATCACTTCATTCTTGCACCAAGGCTGTTGGAAGTCTTTTGCATTGCTTGGTGCCGAAGGCTTGGGCTCTTTGGAGATCTGCAGGACTGGGAGAGGCGGAAGCCTGTGATGGTGCAAGCCTGTCCTTGGCAGCGCCCCGTGCGCCCGAGCGGAGCGAGCGCGGTGCCGGAGATGGAGAGAGCGATCATCCACCCCACCATCCAATCTTTAGCGCAAGCTCTGACAGGTCTGGCAGAGGCACAGGCTATTTTTGTCATGTTTTTTGTGCGGGAAAGGGATGAGGGTAGTGTGGGTGTTTGTCCTTTCGCCGGATAGGGACCTTTGTGCGTTCGGCGCTACGTGCCGGCTGTGTCTTTGCATGCCGAAGAGTCAATTCCAGTTGCCTTCTTTGGTGTCAGGTGGATCGAGATTAAAGATTTAAAGGACCACAGATGTCGTTGTTTTGTTTCAAGCCCTCGGGGAGCTTGGCACTGGGAGTTGATGTCCACATGAGCCACAATCAAAACCCGGGTAGATGAAGGCTAGTAAGGGATACTCCCAACCGTAAATAGCTGCGGCCGCCTTCTGAATTCTTTACATGGTTCTGGGTAGACAGAGCTTCATCAATGTTGGAGAGGTAACGAGCGAAGAGAGAGTGAACGAGAACATGAGAAGCGAAAGGGATGGAAGAAAAGGGGAAGGGTCTCTTGTCTCGTCCTTTCGTTACCTTAGTCCTCGCCGTAAAGACCCTTGAGTCGTTTGGCCACGTCCTCATCTCCATAGAAAGTGAATGGTGGGCGGGAGTTAGGGATTTCATTAACCCGCCAGGTCTTGGAAGGAAGGGATGGAAACGAGGCAATTGAAAAGAGATAGGCCTCGTCTCTGTACCATCCCCTCCCTTCCTCGCTTTTTTCGTTCGCTCGCTCATCCCTTCGCTCCTCACCCCTCTCTCCGGTCGGGCGAAGCAAGGGAAAGGAATGGATCCGTTCACCTCTGTTCACTCCTCTCCATACCCAGCCTAACAAATGAAACAGGCTGGGGAAAGAAGGAAGTGAGAGAGAGAATGCGAGCCAACCGCTCATCCCTCACTCTATCTCTGTTCTCTCCATCACATGCCACGTGCAGAGTGAGTCAAGGGACAGGGCATGGGATAGAACGAAGAAGTGAGTGAGAGGTGACAGAGATCCATCATATCACTTCCTCTCTATTACCTCCGCTCGTCACTATTTCCTCGCTCATGCATTCTCTCGCCTAGCGACCAAAGGGAATAGACAGGTGGGGAATGGTGACGAGAGAAGCGAGGAGTGAATGGGTGGTGAGTGGCCAATTCTCGTCTCTGTCATAGCCACCATTCCACCCTTCCCAGTCTCTTTCCTTCTTCCCATGTCTTCCCATTCATTACCTTCAAGGACCTAGAATTTGGGGAAGACATGCCGAAGAAGACATGTCTTTTTACCTGTGTCTCACTTCGTTCGCCCATTGGTCACCATCCGCTCGTTCCCAAGGTCTGCTCTAGACTGAGGGGTAAAGATGAAGGAAAGAGAGAGTTGATGTGATAGCATTGCAATACCGGGTTTTGATTGTGACTCACATGCTCCCCCTTGCCAGGCGGAGGACATCCAGCCGCTGAGCGCTCTGAGGAGCGCGGCGCACTCCGCGCAGGGCGCGGGGACCTTTCTGCTGTCGAGTTCAAATGCGCTGGCGGAGACGGGGCAGGGCATTCCCGTGGACTACCGCAGCCTGGCGAGAGGTTCCACGCCCGTTTGGTGAGGGAGGCGTTTCTGTTGGGTTTTTCGGGGACCGGGGACCAAAGGAAACCGGCCAAGCCGAAGAATTCAACCGGGCTTAGGGCATGGTGTTGGAAGAGCAATGCATCTGCATGCATCTGCTATCTATTTAGGTTTCACGCACAGTACTGTCAGGTAGCTTTGGATTTATGACTTTTCATTCTTGGCTGCCAGTGCTGGTGCGTTGAAGGAAGCCTGTGTGGGTAGGTTCCATATTCGAGCTGACAAAATCACGGATCGTCCATGATTAGCTTTAAAAACCATTAAAAAGAAGGGTCCGAAACCCAACCAAGTCGCCCCTTCGCCCCCCCCACCCCAAACCGAGCCGAGGTGGGGTGCTGAAGTGCTCCCGGCACGCAGCTTCGCTGGCGTCGGAGCTGCGGAACCTGCAGCGGGCCATGGGGCAGTGGCCGCTGCGGGTGCCGAGGCCGCTGAAAGCTGCGGAGGAGGTGGAGGGCCTCAGCGCCTTCGTTCAGGACTCTGGAGCATTTCGGGGTGTGTTGCGCTTTTTAGGCGCCCCCCTTATTTTTGTTACCCCCTCCCCCCAAAAAAGGCGTGTGTGTCTGTGTATGTGTGTGTGTGTGAGTGTGTGTGAGTGTGTGTGTGTGTGTGTGAGTGTGTGTGAGTGTGAGTGTGTGTGTG